TAAGAATTAAGGTGATCAAAGTCTGTATTTAACGGGGGCGTAACGCACTTTGTCCGAGTGGAGTTGGCGTGGCGGAGATTTTACACCACAGGTGTCAAACTCAAGGCCCGGGGGCCAGATTTGGCCCGCCACATCATTTTATGCGGCCCGCGAAAGCAAATAAAATATGGCAACTTTCATGATGCTTGCTAAAATCTCGACCCAAATTTTAAATTCTCATTTGTCATAAATAAGAGCGATACGGTCAGCATTTTCTTGTTGCCAAGCCCCTCAACACAGTAACTTAAACAAAAGACGAATAAACCGTTCTTCTTGACCTCTTGATATCGTTTCAGTCAAAACGGCCCTCCAAGGGAAACGATATCTAAAATCTGGCCCGTGACAAAAAATGAATTTGACACCCCTGGTTTAGACTTTATTACAGCCGCCGTCGTTGGACAATTAATGAATGTGGTTGCACGCATTCAAAACGACGTGGAGTGTTTCCCCCGCGCGAACCGTCTTATTTGCCCAACTTATCAGCGCTCCAATAAGTGTCATTGCTGGGTGGGGGGAAGGGGGGGGCAATCGCTTTGTCCCCATCGGCGTTTCCTTCCCGATCCAAATGAGGCTGAAGCACAAACGTATTCCATCTTCCCGGTGAATCAGCGACACCAAGTTGACGAGGAGAACTTTCTTCATGTCCGTGCATCGGCGTGTCATTGGCGAGCGTTTTGCATGCAGTGTGGCGTCGGCTCCCCGCACCTCTGTTTGGATGTCACTTCATCACTGGGAGGTTGAGACTTAATCTGCATATTAAAAACGTTCGCTTGTTGCCTTTAGGCGGATTCCGACTGTCTCCTATAAATATCCCCGCGTTTGTCTGCGGAGCTCTCAGCGTACATCGCCCTCACGAGTCCTCTTTTAAATGTTGATTTAATTCAGCGTTTAGTCATCTTGCTCTAAAGGGACGAGGGTGTGTGAGTGTGTGTGTGTGAGTGGGGAGGGGGGGGGCGGAGTTCAAGGATGGCGCATTCATTTCGGCGTGCAAAGTTCATGTGAGAATAATTACAAGGAGCTGCGAGGACGCCCCCACAAGCTTATCATTATCATCGTCGTCATCGTCTCAGCCCAGATTTTCTCCACGGGCTTGTGAAGAAACCGATACGCGGACCGACAAAACGATGAACAATTCTTTGGCCGCCTGTGTCACTGTACATCAAGGATGTGAAACTTGATGTGGGGGATGTACAATCAGTGGCAGTTTCTGGTATGCGCAATAAGTGGGGTTCCACAGGGCGCCGTTTGGAATGTCAAATGCTTTTTTTCTATTGGCATCGGTGACGTGTACATCATTGGCATTCGCGTGCGGAATTTATGCACCCCTTGTGGAGTTTGCCCCTGTAGAATAGATGCGTGAAGAGACAATGGATTAGTAAAACGGGGGTGAATGGCGGGGAGGGGGAGGTGTGTGTGTGTGGGGGGGTTCTAGCCCAAGGAGCCATTTATGCTAGGACCACCACTGCATACTGTTGAATGGTACGATAAATGTGTTGCAGTCCCCGCCACTCCCCCCACCCCACCCCCCCAAAAAAATCTTGTGTTTTTAATGAAAAAAAAAATCCCTATACTGTACTTTAATAACACACAATGAAATTCCGAGGAAGATCCGAATGGAGCCTCACTTCACTCCTTCCCACTCTGCACAGTGGGACGCGGAAGCATCTCCATTGCTAGCATGACTTGTTCGTGATGGAGTATTGCCAAAAAAATCAAACGCTCACGGTTTGATGTTGATGTTGTTTTGATTTTTTTGTTTTGTTTTTGAAAGTACAATCAATGAAAACATAAGAGAGGTGAAAATCTTCCCCGATGAGCCAAATGGGAAAGGTCAGGTTGCAGCCATTCATGACATTGGGATGGACAAAAAACAAAAACGAATCCACAACTTTTTAAAATGGGAAGCATGTATCCGAGACGGACGGGCGACACTAAATTGACAAGCTTTACAGTATCAAAATGGCTACTGTGGAAAATCAACAAGGGGGGGGGGTGGCCAAGACTTTTGCAACGATCCTGTATGTCTCTTCCGCCGTGAAGAGGATCTTCTTCAGCACTTGTCGACGTTGGGGGATGAGCTATCAAATGCGTCTCAGCAGAACTTTGCCTCCAGTTTGACTTTTATTTTTACGGACGGCTGCGATAATCCCAGAATATGATCCCCTCCCCCCAAACCCCCCCATCACAGAAGCAAAGCTTATGCGGCCCTCAC